GCTGCAGACAGAATGGGCTTTTCTTTTTGTTTTTGTTGCGTTAGTATGCGGTATATATATACCATACTTTTATTGTTGTTGTTATTATGATTATCATTTTATGCTTACCATTATTAATTTTATTATTACATCAATGTAATTACCATGATCATAATTGTTATTATTATTATTATTATTATTATTATTATTATTGTTATTATTATTATTACTATTATTATTATTATTATTATTATTATTATTATTATTATTATTATTATTATTCCTGTTGTCACCATTATTACCATTACCATAATAATTATCATTAATACTATCATATTATTATCAATATTGTTATTACTGTTATTATTATCATTATTATTATTATCATCATCATAATATTGATGATAATGGTAATAATAATGATAATAATAATGATGATAAGAATAATGATAGTGATAATGATGGTGATAATAATAATAATGATGATAGTAATGATAATAATTATAGTAATAATAGTTATAGTAATAATTATAATGATGTTGATAATGATAATAAAAAATAACAATAATAATCATCATCTTCATTATCATTACTATTATTTTCATTATCATTACTATTATTTTCATTATTATTACTATTATTTTCATTATCATAAGTAATATCACTTATATCATGATTATTATCATGGTGATGAAGATGATTATTGTTATTCTTGTTACTATTATTGTCATTGTTACTATTATTGTTATCACTGTTATTATAATTAGTAAAATCATCAGTAATAGTAATAGTAATAGTAATAGTAATAGTAATAGTAATAGTAATAGTAATAGTAATAGTAATAGTAATAGTAATAGTAATAGTAATAGTAATAGTAATAGTAATAGTAATAGTAATAGTAATAGTAATAGTAATAGTAATAGTAATAGTAATAGTAATAGTAATAGTAATAGTAATAGTAATAGTAATAGTAATAGTAATAGTAATAGTAATAGTAATAGTAATAGTAATAGTAATAGTAATAGTAATAGTAATAGTAATAGTAATAGTAATAGTAATAGTAATAGTAATAGTAATAGTAATAGTAATAGTAATAGTAATAGTAATAGTAATAGTAATAGTAATAGTAATAGTAATAGTAATAGTAATAGTAATAGTAATAGTAATAGTAATAGTAATAGTAATAGTAATAGTAATAGTAATAGTAATAGTAATAGTAATAGTAATAGTAATAGTAATAGTAATAGTAATAGTAATAGTAATAGTAATAGTAATAGTAATTTATCCTCAGTAATGTGTTATTATTATTAACTTGTTAATTATGTCATTATCGTCATCACCGTCACCATTATGTTTATTGATAATAACACACTCGCACCACAGTTCTATATATGTATGCTGTTGTTGTTATTTTTTCGCACGCAAACAGACACACTTGTATCTAAATAAGTCTATGAAATCTACGGATATACACACCGCGTTTCATTACTGAAATTCTATTATAGACGTATTCACCTTCCACGAAGCTCCACGTACCTTGAAACCAGACAATGAAGCTGAGTCTCGAAGGTGGCGAGGTCTGACTGCCCTTTGGCCTGGGAGTGCGAGAATCTATTTTCCCCTGTCAATACACAGAGGCTCTCCCCGCTGGCCACTTCATTCTAGAAGGCGGCGCCACTCCTCGTAATGGGGGGAATTATGACGGTGCTTCACACTAGCGCGCGGCAGTACTGGCATTATTTGGATGAAATATGACCACGGGATGAAGCGCTATCATTGTTATATAATCATCATTCGCGAAACCAATTGCGTTAGAGTTACTGTGTTTTCCTAGTTATACGTTGCTTGTCTCTTATCAGAATATTAAATGGCTTACTGTAATGGGCATAGTTTTGGTGGTTCAGTAGTTTTATCAATAATTGCATCGTTAGAGAACTGATGGACTAGGGTGTTATAGCTTCTGCAATACAGATAATATAAAGGATCCTCTTGTCTTATATACTTGTTATTATTATGACGACTATTCTTCACAGAAATTGCCCTATCAACGAGATTACACTGTAATTATTGCTACTATAGATTTTTCTTGTGTGTGTATCCCTCTCTCTTTTTCACGTAAATTTCTAAAAATATTTACAGTACTTGGGAGATTCATAGTCATTCTAAATAACAGAATGGCCTATAAACCGAGTAATCAATTATACGTGCGATAGGTTATTAGTGTGATAGCTTTGGTAATCCGGAAGTGCCTATTAAGTAATTAAAGACTGAGATGGGTCATTCTTCATAGGCAATTCCTAAATGCCAAATCTTCCTGATATGGAGACAAATGTTGACATTCAATAAAGTGCTGCCCCTGTCCTAGTTTAATACTATTTCGTTCTGTTTGATTGTTATGGATGCCATAAAGCTGATAAAGCTCTGTCTGTTGTGCCTGTAGCCGGTGTCCTGGAGTTCGGCGTGAACTATCCGGTTTGGTCCTCTTTAGTGTGGCCTTATCAGCCAGGGTGACCCATTCTAG